GAGATAGAGATGTCGAAATTGATACTCCAACCCATGTCGATGATGTGGCATCGACCCCGATGGACATTGACGAGATCGGCACGAACGAGTCAACCATGATGCTACCTGCTTCAGCACCAGGTCCGGGCCACATAGGCTCTCGGTTGTTGGAACATGACCAAAATGCAAGGATTGAAAACGCGATTGTGTCCTCAAGATATGTGGGATCACACAGTATGGATGGTGCTCTGGTTGAAAGGTTTTCGGATGAGGGGGAGAGTCAACTAGTTTTCCAAGATGCTATGCGGCATCCTGCAATTGGACGCGACCTAGTACCGAGAAATTCCCGGATCACCTGCCACTGTCCCTTCCTCCTTCGCACCACGATACGGCTGACATGCAACTAGCACTGGTGCCTGCTTCGTCACATGGCGACCCTTCAGTTGGTCCACCTGGTGATGACTCTTCCAATGATGGTGAACCTGACCCGAAACGATCCCGACTCGATGACTACGAGGTCGTTCTGGCTGCTGCAGATGTACCTCTTACGTATAGAGAGGTGATGAATTCGCCGGATGCAGCGAAGTGGAAAGATGCAATCCGAGCTGAGCTTCGCTCTCACATTCGCAACCACACGTGGGATATTGTTCGCCGACCTTTTGGTACGAAGGTGATCGGCTGCAAGTGGGTGTTCGCCCTAAAACGTAATGAGCAGGGAGAGATTGTACGTTACAAGGCTTGTCTCGTTGCGCTTGGCTTCTTGCAGACCTTTGGTGTCGACTACCACGAGACTTACTCGCCGGTTGCTGGTCTTTCTACCCTGCGTGTCTTCTTTGCCGTATGCAACCACCTTGGCTACTTTATCAAGCAATTTGACGTGGAGACAGCATTCTTAAATGGTGATCTGGATGAGGATGACCATCCAGATCACCTGTCTTTATGGCAATTCCACCGGGAGTGCGAGCTGGCCATGGCATGGTATGCAAGCAGCTGTGTAGCTTGTATGGCCTCAAACAGGCTGCTGCTGTTTGGTTCAAGACAATTCGTAGTGCCTTTCT